TGAAGGCGTCGAGAGCTTCAGACTTGTGAGAGATATTCTTGTTCCAGACATATCGAGCAGCACTGTTGATGAAGGTAATTACTGTATATAGCGGTAGTCGTTGCCGCTCATATCCTCCGCTTCCTGCGGTATGAAGAGTATGTCGCTGAAAAAGACATCCATAGGTGAGTGCTTAGTAGCACTTGGAAAATGTGACGGAAACGGAGCATGACTTAGGTGAGCTCCGGGGCTGATGGTGCAGGGTAGTTGACGACTGCTAGGTCGAAGTTCTAGGCCGTTGGTTAAAAGGAGAGCGTCCTTGTCGAAAATCGAGGCTTTAATGGAGTTGTTGATAGCTTCTTGAGAGGGATGACCTTCCCGCTTATGCCAAGTTTCTGCTGTACTCCAGTGTCCCTTTGAACGCATGTACAAGTCTGAGTGAAGGAAGAAGGCCGGCGAAAGATGAATCGTTGGCACAGAGTTGACGCAACGGCCGGTGCCGAAAGGCTGAATGAAGTGTTTTTGCTGCTGATGCTACTATTGTTGGCTTTGCTGCAGGTTCATCAAGGGAGTTGGTGCGAGAAGGCTGAGGCGTGATGCAGAAGACATTGAGACCACGATGGTCTTGGCGTTGAAGATCCGCTTCCCAGCGATGATGCCAAGGAGCAAGTGAGACGTTCTTCCTACTGTGGCCAGATTCTTTCACGGGTGAAAATCGTAGAACTGAAACACCGTCTTTAATTTCTTCGATGCCAACAAACGTGCTTTTGTCTTCCTTCTTGTCGCCCAAATACAACTCCATGAGCATCGTGTTGGCGGTGCTGACAAAGCAGATGCCACTTTCCATCAGCCACGCTTGTAATAGTAGGTTGAAGCCGAGTCCAGTGGCGAGGAGAACCTTGTTAAGGTGAAGTGAAACTTTGGTGTCGTCGGACTCTAGTATCACATCTCCAATTCTGGTGGATTCAATAACCTGATTGTTGGCAATCGTGATGTTGCATTTCTCTCCTTGTGGCATGTCTCGCTAGTTGAGGAGATAGCAACTTGAAGACGCCATGTGACGACTGCAGCAACTATCAAGAAACCAAGTGTCACTGTCGCTGTCTTCATTATCTCGTTGGCTCCAGAAGCGTACTGTATATCACTAGACCAGTGTGGTCGAATCATGCAATTAATGATTGCCTTTCCTTTTGCAGGTTGAGTTGAAAAAGCTGAAGGCGGCGAGATATTCTTGATAGGGGCGGCTTCACCCGACTTCTCCCAATTCATGTTCTTTGGTTTCCGACTCTCTTCAATATAATGTCTTGCTCTTGCAGAAGCCCTTTCCTCCCTTTCTTGTGTGCTCCCATTGACTTGATGCACCTCTTGTCTGCTCCCCTTGACTTGTTCCACCTATATAGAAGCTTAACCCACTCTTGGCTTTGCCTCCTTTTGCGTTGTATACAGTAGGTCCAAGTCCTGCTGCTCCGCCATCAGAGTAGCGAAAAGAGTTCATCAACGGCAAAGGCAGAACCGATCTTTGGGTCGACCACGATCCGCACATGGAAAGCGTTGAAGGGCAGATTCGAGCACATATCCATGCGCGAAAATGCTCGCACAAAGCTTCGGATGTGGAGACAGCTGGACCCTGTCCAAGAATATATGGCGTCGTTGAAGCGTTGAAGGGCAGATTCGAGCACATATCCATGCGCGAAAATGCTCCCACAAAGCTTCGGATGTGGAGACAGTTGGACCCTGTCCAAGAATACACGGCGTCGTTTCTGGCAATCTGCGACCAAATTGGAGGGATCAGCGAGGACGAGAAAATCGATCGCTACGTGGGTGGTCTCAAGCTGGAGATTCAGCAAGAGAAAATTCTGCGAGCTCCGACGACCTTCAACGAAATAGTTCGCATAGCAGACCCGCTGGACGCACGACGTGGACTCGCGAGAGCGGATTTCCGGGGGAGAAATCGCTTTCGAGGCCAGCCCCAACACACATCAATCAACGGTCTGGACGTATTTGCAGCCCGAGTATTTTCGGGAACCTGCTTCCACTGCAAGGCGAAAAATTTACGATTGCAGCTGGAGCGCTGCATGCACGAAATCGACGCGACATTGGTTGACGGCACACCACTCGCAATTCGGGAGCGAGTACCTTACGTACGAGTAACATGCGGTGAAAATTTCAGTTTCCCGACGAAGATGCTAGCGACAACTTTGGACGGCTGCGACAAGCTGCCGGGATGCGATTGGCTGCGCGAATACAACCCGAGCACCGATTGGCGGATGGGCGACTGTCGCATCAAATGGAGTGGCGAGTGGCGACGACTACCCAAGTGGAGCTGTCAAGATTCGACCATATCGACGGTCAGGGCAGTGACGATAAAGCGAGCTATGATTCGAGGGGTGCAACTGTACGCCGTCCGATGGATCGCCTCAACGGTTGTCGACACGCTGACCGACATCGACAAACTCTGCGCAGCTGTTACGTATGACTTGGCGTTGGTGATTCGGAAACGCACCGACATTTTTCCAGATGACCTACCGGTGGGTTTGCCACCTGAGCGAGACCATGACCACAAAATCGAGCTGGAGCCTGGTGAGCAGCCTACTGTTCGGACTCAATGGCAGCTGACTCAGCCTGAGCTGGACGAACTTCGAAGCCAGCTGGACTACCTGCTCGAGAAAGGTTTCGTTCGCCCCAGCACAGCCCCGTTTGCAGCTCCAATCCTGTTCACCCCGAAGAAAGATGGCGGTCTACGAATGTGTATTGACTACCGCGCCTTGAATCGGGTTACCATCAAGTCTCGCTATCCTATCCCGCGTGCCGACGAACTCATCGACCAACTTTGTGGAGCCAAGTTCTTTTCGAAAATTGACCTGCGAGGCGGTTACCACCAGATCCGCGTGCACGAAGCTGAATGCTACAAGACGGCGTTTCAGACCCGGTACAGAAGTTTCGAGTACACGGTTATGCCTTTCAGCCTAACAAACGCGCCTTCGACGTTCCAGTTAACCATGAACGAAGTTTTTCGGCCGCTGCTGGATAAATGCGTCATCATGTATCTCGACGACATACTGGTCTACAACACTATACGGGAGCAGCATTTGAAGGATTTGGAAGCCGTTTTCTCTCTCTTGCAGCAGCACCGACTCATCACCAAGGGATCTAATTGCGAGTTTCTCAAACACGAACAGGAGTTTTTGGGCCACGTCATTTCCATCGACGGAGTTAAAATCGACCCCAAGAAAATCGCGACGATACAAACTGGAAGCCACCGGCTAATCTCCGAGAACTTCAGAGTTTTCTGGGGTTCGTGAATTATGTCCGCCGTTTCATTCCGAACATGGCGGGGGTAACTTCCCCTCTCACGGATCTACTGAAGAAGGGCACGTTTTATGAGTGGCAGGGAGAGCAGCAGGCTGCGTTCGAACAGCTCAAACTTTTCCTGACTACACCTCCGGTCTTCGGATTGCCGATCCTCACCGTCCATTCGAGCTCATCACCATCGCTCGCGATTTGGCCGTTGGTGCAGCACTGATACAAGACTTCGGCGAAGGCCTACAACACATCGCCTACGAGTCACGAAAGCTGAACCCGGTCGAGCAAAATTATCCTGTCCACGACAAGGAATTATTCGCCATCATTCACGCCTTCAAAGTCCGGCGCTGCTACCTGACGAGTGCTGACGTGAGAGTCCGAATAGACCATAAATCACTACAGTTCATCCGCGCCCAACCGACACTGAATCCCCGACAGATTCGCTGGCTTGATTACCTCGAGTCCAACTTCCACTACAGAGTCACCTACAAACGGGGAGTTAGCAACATCTCCGACACACTGACCCGACCTTCAGTCCATACCGCCGTAGTCCTAATTACCCAAGCTAAGCCACTGCTAACTGGCCTATTCACCAATGGATACAGTACTGACCCATTCTTCACCACTAACAGTCATCCCCAACTGATGGTCAAGGAAGGGGCCTACTACATAAAATCCGGTACCAATCGGATTTGGGTTCCCGCCTACCATACCCTACGAGAACTACTGATACAGGAGGTACACGTCTCGAATTGGGTCACTACGGCATCGACAAAATCGCCAAATGACTGAGCCGTAATTATTGCTGGCCCGATTTGTTAGGATTAAGGACGGAGTCTATGTGAACTTAGGAGCTAGAATTACTCAAAATATAAATCCGAAATTCTGGACAGAAAAGTCGTCTTCACAAGAAACGACGTCGACAAAAAACTAGCCGTTGGAATGTCGCGAAACTTGGGTATGATGTAGCTCTTAATTTCAGCTACCGTTCCCAATTTAAATCATGTTGATCGATGAAGTATTCGCGACGCTATGGCTTTCGGCGCACTAGGGGGTAAGCTGTAGGAGAAGAACTTAACTCAATCTCAAAAGTTCAATCAAAGTTCAAGAATCTCACAAGGAATTAGAGGAGCAAGAGAAAGGTTGGGATAGAAGAGAGGGATGAGAGGGAAGGTCCCAAGAGAGTCCCCAACCAAGGAAACCCCATTAGCACAAAGATTCCCTCCCTATAGGAACCTCAACTTTGACCTTTGTCCCTTCCCAACCAATCCATCCAAGTTGGCCACCCTTGCCAACCTAGCTTGGTTGTTCCCAACCAATTTGCAGCTGTTACAGTAGAGTGACGAATTTCCCCAACCCCAAAGGTCCCAACTCCATATAAAGTCACCCCACAACTTCACTTTGTAACCGCCGCAATTGTAACGCAAGCTCATGAACTTTGAATCTTCATAGCTTTCGCGTTTTTGCTCCGATTGAAGCGATTCTTGTTGCGTCGGAAAGATATTCTCAAGATCTATCATCACAAATACCTGCTCAGACAGAATAACACAAAACACATTCCCAAACTCCAGAACACACACCATACAAATTCTTTCACACACAGTCAAACCATACATGCGAATTGAAACAAGGGATGGGAGGCAGACAGAATGTGATAGCATATAATGACATCACACAACAATCTCCCCCTCTGGCTGCCAACCATCATCCACCATACCAACATCTCAAGCATGCATACTCAATGCACACTCATGCCAGCAAGCTTCATGCCCTTCCAATGATCCGCCTCCGCCAGACGCTTAGTGAAAATATCTGCTGCCTGCTGATGGGTCTTAACTATCTCCAGCCGCACCTCCTTATCAAGGAGTCTCCTCACCCATGCCACTTAGGTCTTTTGTGTTTAGTCAGCCCATACAGGCAAGCATTCTTGGCGAGCTTCACAGCAGACTCATTGTCGCAAAACACAACTGTCGGCTCCTCCTGACCAACTCCCAACTCCTCCAACAAACGCCTCAGCCGCACCACTTCCTTGGCCCCATGGTGTAAGGCCATGTACTCAGTCTCACATGAGGACAATCCCACCTCATTCTGCTTCTTGCTACGCCAGCTCACAGCACCACCTCCTAGCAAGCACACATAACCCCCAATGCTGGTGCCATCCACTTTCACTGAGTTGAAGCTAGCGTCAGTATAGCAACTCAAGAGCATCTCTCCACTCTTCACATCTGCAGCACCTCTCTGCAACCGCTGCCTCACTCCACTGTACTCCAATCCCACTGATGCCGTAGCGCTCACATAGCGGACCAACCACTTGGCTGCTTCTAGCTGCTCATGACTAGGGCGTGAGACCACACTAGCCAACCGTGATGTAGCAAATGCAATGTCAGGCCGTGTATGATTTGCAGCATAGTTCAGCGACCCAACCATCGAATGAAACAGCTTCCTGTCACTCTCACCCACTACCTCCTCATCAACACATGGCTCCACAGTAAACCCTGAAGGTAGTGGTGTTGCTGGCTTTCCCCCATCTTGCAGCCCATACTTCTCAGCCAGCCCCTCACAGTACTTCCTCTGTTGCAACCTCAGCACACCCTTTTCCACATCTCTCTCCACGTGCATCCCCAAGTAGTACTTCACCTCACCCATCTTGGAGCACTTGAACTGCATCTCCAGCATCTGCTCTACGCTGTCCAGCAAAGCAGTTGATGCAGAGAAGAGAAGGATATCATCCACATACACCAGGAGCATGAGGATTTCATCCTTCTCCTGCAGCAGGAACAGGCTGGGGTCACACTCACTCTTCTTGAAACCCCCAGCCAACAGCGCCTCCTCCAACTTGTGATACCATGCACGAGGCGCCTGCTTAAGGCCATAGATGGCCTTCTTCAGCTTGCAGACCCTGCCGCTCCCATCATCCAGCCCCTCTGGCTGCTTCATGTACACCTCCTCCAAAATGATCCCATTCAGAAAGGCAGTCACAATGTCCATGTGCCGTATCTTCCATCCCAGGAGTGCAGCTATCGCCAACAGCACCCTCAGTGTTGTTCCTTTCCCCACAGGAGCAAAAACCTCATAATAGTCCTTCCCCTTTGTCTGCTGAAACCCCCGTGCCACAAGCCTAGACTTGTAGCGAGTCAGCTCCCCTTCAGGTCCATACTTGTGCCTGTAGATCATCTTGGAAGTGATTGCCTTCTTCCCAGGAGGCAAGTCACACAGGTCCCATGTCTCGTTCTCAATCAGGGACCCGAACTCCTCATCCTCACTCGCCTTCCACTTCTCCCCATTTGGTCCATTCAAGGCATCCTCTCGAGTCTTGGGCTCAGGGATTGGTGCCCTGTAGCAGTGAGCGATCTCATCTTCCTCAATCTGCTCAACCACACTCCCAGCCTGCACCACATTCGGCTTGCCTCTTCCCCCATAGGTCAGCCTTACCGGAGGGCGCACATCCCTCCTAGGTCGCTCAGGCGGGTGTGGAACTCGAGGTGGAGACTCATGCTGCTGCTGCTGCTGCTCCACTTCAGCTGCTCCCCCTTCCTCAGTCACCCCAGACATCTCCTCCTTAGACACTGCAACCTCCACCTGTCTTGAAGGCCGCTGCACCTCATCTGCCTCCACAATGAGCAGTGTAGATGGAAGCTTCTGTTGCTGCTGCTTCCATTCCTTGTAGTACAGGGACTCAAGAAACTTCACATCCCTTGACACAGTCAGCTTCTGGGTGGTCAAGTCCCATAGCAGCCACCCCTTGTGATCCTTTGCAATCCCTAAGTGCACACCCCATCTTCCAGAAGCCTCCAACTTCCCCCTTTTCTCCTTAAGCACATGAAACACCACCATGCACCCAAATGCCCTCAGCATGTTCACAGCTGGAGCACTCCCATACCACTTGGTATATGGGATCCACTCCTTATCCCCAACTGTAGCCAGCACCCTGTTCTTCACAAGGGCGACCTGCCTCAGTGCAGACACCCAAAACGGATCAGGCAGCCCTGCACGCCCAAGGAGAGTGCGTGCCCCCTCCTGCAGGGTCCTGTTGAACCTCTCACCCACGCCATTCTGCTGCGGGTTGTAGGGCACTGTCAGTTGATGTTGGATCCCCTTCCTCTTCAACTCCCCCTCAAAATCAGCTCCAATGAACTCCCCACCATTGTCACTGCGGATCACCTTCACCTTGTGTCCACATTCCCTCTGAGCTCTAGGCATCCACTCCTTAAGGACAGCCGCTGCCACCTTCCCCTTGCTCTTCAAAGTGTAAACCCACACTGCCCGAGTGTGGTCATCCACAATTGTCAAGAAATAGCGGCTGCCTGAGAGGGAAGGGGCTCTTGTGGGCCCCACCACATCCATGTGCACAAGTGCAAGTGGGGTCTTGGCTGGTCCTGTAGTGCTGTTGAAGGGGAACTTGGAAAAATTGGTCTCCAAGCATGTAGGGCAGCTCCCAATCTCCTTCACTCCCCCTTTCACCTCCAAGCCCTTCAAGCTCCCATCCTTCACCAACTTCTGCAGCATAGGGAAGTTCACATGACACAGCCTCTCATGCCATGTCTCCCAATCGGCCTCTCCACTCCTTGATGAAGCCTTAGCCCATGCCGCACTCGCATCCACACCAGCAAACACCTCACCATGTGTCTGCTGCTGCTGCACTTTCTTGACTGCTTCCAAGTCCCCATCAGTTGGTGCAGTTGCATCTCCTCCTGCTGTTGCCTTTGCCGCTGCTGCCGTTGCTGCTGTTGGAGTCTTCCCATTCCAAGGGATGATGGGCAGCTGCCATAGATCCTTGATGCAGCTGGTCTCCTCTTCCAGACTCCACATCACCTTCTTCCCAAGCTTAGCACGGCAGCTGGTTGGTCCAAAGGTCACTTCGGCCTTGCTCTTCTGCAGTCGCCGCACAGAGAGAAGGTTAGCAGACAGACCTTCAACCAGCAGAACATTCCCAAGTCCCACAAGCTCCCCATTAGCTCCCTTAACCTTGGCATTTCTAACACCAATCACAGGGAGCAAAGCACCTGATGCTGCTGCCACATACTTGATCTTCCCAGGGGGTTTTACCTCATCAAGCAAATCTGCCCGTGGGGTCATGTGACTGGTGCAACCTGAATCAATCACCCAGTGCGTGAGAGGGTGCATCACAACCTTTCCCACAGATCCCACATCACCCTCATGCCCATGCACATCTTCAACAATAAGAAACAAACCAGGATAGGCATTACCTTGTGTAGAAGGGTCTTCAAACTTCTGTAGACTCCTCTCAATGTCCTCAATATTGCTCTGATACCACTTGTTAGGATTAAGGACGGAGTCTAGGTGAACTTAGGAGCTAGAATTACTCAAAATATAAATCCGAAATTCTGGACAGAAAAGTCGTCTTCACAAGAAACGACGTCGACTAAAAACTAGCCGTTGGAATGTCGCGAAACTTGGGTATGATGTAGCTCTTAATTTCAGCTACCGTTCCCAATTTAAATCATGTTGATCGATGAAGTATTCGCGACGCTATGGCTTTCGGCGCACTAGGGGGTAAGCTGTAGGAGAAGAACTTAACTCAATCTCAAAAGTTCAATCAAAGTTCAAGAATCTCACAAGGAATTAGAGGAGCAAGAGAAAGGTTGGGATAGAAGAGAGGGATGAGAGGGAAGGTCCCAAGAGAGTCCCCAACCAAGGAAACCCCATTAGCACAAAGATTCCCTCCCTATAGGAACCTCAACTTTGACCTTTGTCCCTTCCCAACCAATCCATCCAAGTTGGCCACCCTTGCCAACCTAGCTTGGTTGTTCCCAACCAATTTGCAGCTGTTACAGTAGAGTGACGAATTTCCCCAACCCCAAAGGTCCCAACTCCATATAAAGTCACCCCACAACTTCACTTTGTAACCGCCGCAATTGTAACGCAAGCTCATGAACTTTGAATCTTCATAGCTTTCGCGTTTTTGCTCCGATTGAAGCGATTCTTGTTGCGTCGGAAAGATATTCTCAAGATCTATCATCACAAATACCTGCTCAGACAGAATAACACAAAACACATTCCCAAACTCCAGAACACACACCATACAAATTCTTTCACACACAGTCAAACCATACATGCGAATTGAAACAAGGGATGGGAGGCAGACAGAATGTGATAGCATATAATGACATCACACAACACGATTTGCCGACAGACGTGCAGCTGTACGTCACCTCCTGCGCCACGTGTCAACGCATGAAGTCGTCCCGGCTTTGACCTGTGGGATTGCTGCATCCGCTAGAGCCACCCAGCCGACCCTGGCAACAAGTGACGATGGATTTCATTACTAGCCTGCCAGCTGGTTTAAGCGGTAACGACGCGATTCTCGTTGTCGTTGACCGGTTGACCAAGATGGCCCACTTCGCCGCCTGCAAGACGACAATTACTGCAAGCAGACAGCAAAACTGTTCCTCACGAACATCGTGCGGCTACACAGCATCCCTTCGGCAATCATCAGTGATCGTGATCCACTGTTCACGTCCAACTTCTGGACAAAAACCTAGCAACAGTACGGCACGTCTGCATCCGTCCACAGTGTACCACCCGCAATCGGACGGCCAGACTGAGCGCACCAATCAGACGATGGAATAGCTGATTCGCACGACATGCAGAGACACGGCCCAATGGGAGGCCGATGCCATCCTCAAAGGCAACCAGAGGGCTAAGCAGCAAGTTGACCGACGACGCAGAGACTTAACACTTGCTCCTGGGCAATTGGTCTTGCTCGACACAAAACATTTGGGAATTCCCCTCCCAAATAAATTACGACTAAGCTTTTGCGGCCGATTCCGCATCATCCGCATGGTGACACCAGTCACCACCCATCTGCAACTGCCGACCGACTGGCGAATTCATGATTCATTCCACGTCAGTCTCCTGCGACCGTTCGTCCCGAGTACAACTAATCTCGACCGTCAATACATCAATCCTACGGTCAACCCGGTACCCGAGCCAACGATCGAGCCATCCAAGATTCTCGCTCATCACGTACGAGGCCATTGAGATATAGCAGCCGTTGATTTCCTTGTACGATGGGTTGATCGCACGACCGACGACGATCTTTGGGTCCCCGCAGCTACTGTATGCTCGGTGAACACAAATTCGCCCGGGACTATTTACACCGAGGACGTGTCCCGGATGTGGGTAGTCTCATCCCGGAAAGGGGGCTGGTGTAAGGAAATTTCCTTTTCCTTACTGGGCTCGACTACAGCGCATACGCCTTCGGCTCTCGGAAGTCCAGGCTCGGCCAACTTCTTCGGTCCCGAACCATTTCGTGAACCCAAACCTAGACGCGCGGCGCTTCCGTGTCTTTCGCCAACCGGACCGCCCCAACCTGTTCGCGTAGTTCTCGGCGAGCTCTGTTCGTGCTTATAAATGCCTAGGCCCTCATTTGTATCGACACTCTTGAATCACGACTCCTTTATTACACTACCTGATTAAGTCATAACAGTCGTCATACCCTTTCAGTTACGCTTATAGGCGTAACGAACGAACCGTTTCAGTCACGCGAACATTCATGACCTTATAGAATGACGAATAAGTCGCATAGTGCGCAATTAACCGAACATGTACTTTCTGTAGAGCTATAAATCCTTGTAATGCCTTTTGATTAGTAACCTTGACTAAACACAGAATCCTTGTAATTACACTAACTCTTATTACTCTGATTAATTCATAACACAACTCCACCGTTTATTACAGCTCGCGTAATCCTTCAGCCAAATTGTAAGGAAATTCCCTTTTTCTTACTGGGCTCGACTACAGCGCGTACGCCCTCGACTCTTGGAAGTCCAAGCTCGGCCAACTTCTTCGGTCCCGAACCATTTTGCAAACCCAAACCTCGACGCGCAGCGCTTCCGTGGCTTTCACCAACCGAATCGCCCCAACCTGTTTGCGTGGTTCTCGGCTAGCTTTGTTCGTGCCTATAAATGCCTAGGCCCTCATTTGTATCGACACTCTTGAATCACGACTCCTTTATTACACTACCTGTTATTACTCTTTTTAATTCATAACAGCTGGTATCAGAGCCCCGTTCCTGCCCGCTTAGTCTTTCGTAGAGTAGTCCGATTATATCGGGAGAATAGAGGGTTGGCCAGCGGTTGGTAGGCGAGCTCCTTAAAGCTCCTCCAACTAAAAGTGTGTGCACCCTCAGATCTGTCAGGTAAAATTTCCAGCATGACTAGCACGCCAAAAACCTCTGCCCGTCGTAGTGTTAGGAACGTGACTCAGGAGGAGTTTGATGAGTTGCAAGCCAGGGCAGCTACAGTGGCGACACTGCAGGCCCAGCTTCAACAAATCGCGGACAAGTTCGAGTTGGTGGGAAGCGAAGTTCAGACACTGCGCAACGAAAACTCGTCACTTCGCCAGACGCGGGGTGAAACGCGTCAGGGGCGGCCTGTTACCCGAGATGAAGCGAGCGAAGCGAGGGCGTCGGCGATAGCTGAAGCAGTTGAAGAAGTCCACAACGAGCCATGGGCGGCCATTAAAATCAAGCCTCCGATGCCCCCACCGTTCAACCCGACCGGCAAGACAACTACAGTGAGCGGGTGACTGTTCGCCATGGAAATGTTCTTCACGGCAGCAAGTATTAATGACAATGCATGACATGTCAACTTGGCTGTATCGCTGCTGAGGGGACCGGCACTCGACTGGTGGCGCATGCATCTCGACGAGGGAGGAGCTCCTGCAGGGAATCAACAGGGAGTAGATGGGGAGATAAGTTCATCAACGGCGAAGGCAGAACCAATCTTTGGGTCGGCCACAATCCGCAGATGGAAAGCGTGGGGTGAAGCGTTGAAGGGCAGATTCGAGCACATATCCATGCGCGAAAATGCTCGCACAAAGCTTCGGATGTGGAGACAGTTGGGCCCTTTCCTAGAATACACGGCGTCGTTTCTGGCAATCTGCGACCAAATCGGAGGGATCAGCGAGGACGAGAAAATCGATCGCTACGTGGGTAGTCTCAAGCCGGAGATTCAGCAAGAGATCGTCCTGCGAGCTCCGATGACCTTCAACGAAATAGTTCGCATGGCAGACGCGCTGGACGCACGACGTGGACTCGCGGGAGCGGGTTTCCGGGAGGGAAATCACATTCGAGGCCAGCCCCAACACACATCAATCAACGGCGTGGGCGTGTTTGCAGCCCGAGTATTTTCGGGGACCTGCTTCTACTGCACCGGGTCACATGGTGAGGGACTGCCCGCAGCTGAAGAAGAACTTACCTAACGACAAGAAGCAGTCAGGAAATGGAGATCGTCAGTAGCAAATGGGCCACCTACTGACTTGACTGCGTCGCCCATACGCCAACACCCCCACCAGGTTATAGTGCCGATTTGGGCTATCGACCTTTCCTGGTTGAATAAGGGGGGTGAACCGGTTGATCGCCCTGTGCTGGTTGACGGGAGAGTTGGCGACACCCGCATCAAAATATTTGTTGATGGCGGGGCAAGCCACAGTTTGATGGACGTGACGAAGACGAAGAAATTGCGACTGGATCTGGAGCGCTGCATGCCTGAGATCGACGCGCGATTGGTCGACGGCACACCACTGGCAATTCGGGAGCGAGTACCTCACGTGCGAGTAACATGCGGTGAAAATTTCAGCTTCACAATGAAAATGCTGGCGACAACATTGGACGGCTACGACATGCTGCTGGGACGAGATTGACTGCGCGTATACAACCCGAGCATCGACTGGAGGACGGGCGTCTGTCGCATAAAATGGAGTGGCGAGTGGCGACGACTACCCAAGTGGAGCTGTCAATATTCGACGACACCGACGGTCAGCGTGGTTACAATTAAGCGAGCTATGATTCGCGGGGCGCAATTGTACGCCGTCCGATGGATCGCATTAACGGGGTCGACACACCAGCCGACATCGACCATCTCTGTGCAGCTGTCCCGAACAATTTGGAGAACGTCATTCGCAGGCACACCGACATTTTTCCAGACGACCTACCGGCGGGTTTGCCACCTGAGCGAGACCACGACCACAAAATCGAATTGGAGCCCGGCGTGCAACCGACTGTTCGAACTCAATGGAGGCTGAATCAGCCCGAGCTCGATGAACTTCGACGCCAGTTGGATTACCTGCTCAAGAAAGATTTCGTTCGCCCCAGCACTTCCCCGTTTGCAGCCCCGATCTTGTTCACCCCGAAGAAAGATGGCGGTCTACGAATGTGTATTGACTACCGCGCGTTGAATCGGGTTACCATCAAGTCCCGCTACCCTATCCCGCGTGCCGACGAACTCATCGACCAACTTCGTGGAGCCAAATTCTTCTCGAAAAGTGACCTGCGAGGCGGTTACCATTAGATCCACGTGAACAAAGCTGACCCGGTGTTTCAGACGACGTTTCAGACCCGGTACGGCAGTTACGAGTACACGGTTATGCCATTTGGCTTAACAAACATGCCTTCGACGTTCTAGTTAACCATGAACGAGTTTTTTCGGCCGCTGCTGGATAAATGTGTCATCGTATACCTCGACGACATCCTGATATACAGCATTTCCCGGGAACAGCATTTGAAGGATTTGGAAGTAGTCTTCTCTCTCCTACAGCAGCACCGACTAATCACAAAGGGCTCTAAGTGCGAGTTTCTCGAACAGGAACTGGAGTTTTTGGGATATGTTATTTCCATCGACGGTGTTAAAATCGACCCCAAGAAAATCGCAACAATTCAAGACTGGAAGCCGCCGGCTAATCTCCATGAACTTCAAAGTTTCCTGGGGTTTGTGAATTACGTTCGCCGGTTCATACCGAACATGGCGGGAGTAACTTCCCCTCTCACGGATCTCCTGAAGAAAGTCAAGTTTTATGAGTGGGGGGGAGAGCAGCAGGCTGCGTTCGAACAGCTCAAACTTTTCCTGACTACACCTCCAGTTCTTCGAATTGCAGATCCTCACCGTCCGTTCGAGCTGATCACCTACGCTAGCGACCTGGTTGTTGGCGCAGTACTGTTACAAGACTACGGCGAAGGCCTTCAACCCATCGCCTACGAGTCACGAAAGCTGAATCCGGCCGAGCGAAATTATCATGTCCACGACAAGGAGTTACTCGCCATCATTCACGCTTTCAAGGTCTGGCGTTGCTACCCGACGGGCGCTGACGTGACAGTCCGAACAGACCACAAATCGCTACAGTTCATCCGCGCCCAACCGACACTAAATCCCTGACAGATTCGCTGGCTCGATTACCTCGAGTCAAACTTCCACTACAGAGTCACCTACAAATGGGGGGTTAGCAACATCGCCGACGCACTGACCCGCCCTTCAGTCCATACCGCCGCAGTCCTAATTACCCAAGCTAATCCGCTGCTAACTGGTCTATTCACCCACGGATCCATTACCGATCCATTCTTCACCACCAACAGTCATCCCCAACTGACGGTCAAGCAAGGGGCCTACTACCTAAAATCCAGTACCAATCGGAAGCTGGTCGATCCGCATCTGGTTGGTTGCGTCCTGCAGCAGCGCCTGCTGCTTTGTCACGGCTAGGCGATGCTTGGCCGACCCCGCGTGCCTGTTGAATGCCTGCGACTGCACGTCCGTCAGCCCTGCGCCGCGTTTGCGGGCTTTCCCTCTGAGTCCTGCATGCTCAAGGCACAGACTGCATTTAAACGCAGGGAATCCAGCGTCAGTCTTAACGATCATAAGCCAGGGAAACCGCTCGGACCACCGTGTATTAAACCTACTGAGGGCTTCGCCGTAGACATCCTCAGGCAATCGAAACTTGTCGGGTGCATCGGTAGTGTCGTCGCCATCGCTGTCGTCATCTTCGCACATGGCTGAGGGGCGGGGCGTCGTCGGCTGACCGCGTGGGAAATTCCACAGGGTGGATTGCCGGTATCGACCGCCAGGTTTCACGGGTGTGGCGGAACCTGGACTACAGGTAAAAGCATTAGCCAGGGATGGGCCTAGAATAGGCGCGGAATTCGGCTTGACAACACCTTGGGGGTTTTGTTCTGTCGGAGGGTTACGAGGAGTCTTCGGAAAACTACCTAGCGTCGAAAGGAGCATGTCAAGCCCAGTGGGGGCTTCGGCACGGTGACTGCCGCTGTCGTCGCCATCGTCGTCCAATTCCACGTAGCCTGACTCAGGCATGTGGACGGGGCTCACTAGGGTGGTCGACAAGGAGAGACACACGACAGAGTGGTTGTAAAACAACGACACTGCGGAGGGAAGGTCACGCTGGGAGTGGCTACCGTGGGAAGAAACAGATGAAGAAGACGCAGGGGGGAAAGGGAACGATGGCAAGGCGCGAACACTTTGCCAGCCACGCACAGTTGGCTTCCTGTATTCCTGAATCTGGACCGAAACTAGCGCGGCGCATGCGCGTCGGCGTCGAACCGGAGTGTGGTGTTGAAGCTGGGTCATCATCGCTGGCGTACACATGATTGGCTATTCAGGCAGCATTTACAAAGGCAACCAATCCACGCATGCAGGCAAACTGTGTGCTGGTCGACACTTTGAGAAGGACCAATGCCGTGAGGCAGCGTGGCAACATGTGACTCAGCAAACAATGTATGCAGGCGGGAACTTGGCAGTCAGGCCAGTTTTGTGAGAGAATATGCGCATATCGCTGTAATTCGGGGGGGGACTCGCAAATCACGCCTTTGACAAAATCAGAACCCATGCTCGATACAAGTCTGAAATTTCAGGATCCATTACAAAAAAAAACTGACCTGACAGATATCCCTTACAAAAAAACCCTGAAATTTCAGGATATGCCAAAAACAAAACCCTAGCAAATCAGATCTGGTACCCCTCAACACCCTGTTTTTTTCCTGAATCAGGAAAAGTTTCCTGACTTCTGGGGGCCTGACTAACAAAGTGGGAAACTGAATGATTGAGTAGAGAGTGACAACAGGTGAATATACCTAAGTGTTGTACCCTCTAAGAGATGGCCCTATATAGTCTATGCAAAAATAGGAGATACACATGTTTGACACACCCCCTAGACTGCATAGGGGCAGGTCCTGAACAAGCAGCTCAGAGCGGCACTACTAGTCCAGCCTCTGAGACAAGGGTCTAAAAGACCAGTTAGAAGGAGTACAGACAAGGCAAGACAAAGACCAGGGCGGCACTACTAGTCAAACCACTGGGAGAGGACACAAGTCTAGTCTGAGTATACATATAAAGGACAGTACAAAGTCAAGGCCCTAGCAAGTGAGAGGCTACAGGAACTAGACCAAGCTGTACAGCGTGCCGATGATGATCTTTAGGCGCAAGCGCCTTCGTAAAGATATCAGCTGTGTTGGCACCTGAGGCCAAGTGTACTACGCGAGCCTGGCGTCGCTGCTGTAGCTCGCGCAGGAGGAAGTACCGCAGCTGAATATGCTTCGCTCTGCCCTCGAGTCGAGGCTCCTGACACAGGAGGATCATGGCCCTGTTGTCAGCGAACAGGACCGGGGCCGAGCTAGGCCGCTCACCTAAGTCAGTGAGCAAGAAGGTCAGCCAGCGGAGCTCCTGTGCCGCTATGGCACCAGCGTAGATCTCGGCCTCACAGCTGGACTGGGCAACAGACGAGGAGCGGGTGGCTCTCCACGAGACAGCAGCTGAGCCAAGGCTAAGCAGTAGCCCTGGGTAGACCTGAGTGTCTCGGCGTCGTCTGCCCAAGAAGCGTCTGTGTGTCCAGTAAGGACCACTGGCCCACGTCCTCCTAGCACTAACCCCATGCCTGATGTACTAGCAAGATAACGCAAAACCCTCTTAGCGGCAGACCAGTGCTGCGGTCGGTGTCTGCCTGTGGCCACAAAGCGAGCCAGGATGCTTAGAGGGTATGCGAGATCTGGGCGAGTGCAAGTCATCAGGTACATGAGGCAACCCACCAGCTCAGCGTAGGGGCCACTGGGCTCTACCGACTCCTCAGGAAGTGGAGCAGAGAGTCTGTGGTCTACAGGCAGAGGGGTGGGCTGTGCAGAGGAGAACTGAAGACCGAACCTCTGAAGGACCTGGCGCACCAAGTGTGACTGAGTCAGGGTGATGGTGCGCGCTGCTTTGTCCCGGGAGATCTGCAAGCCAAGGTAACGGCGCAGTTCTCCAAGGTCCATGCACGTGTGTCTCTTCAGCAGCTCTCCCTTCACTGAGGCCAGTGCGTCCCTGTCTGCTGTGGCAAAGACCAGGTCGTCGACGTAAACAAGGATGTAGAACGGAGTCTGGCCAGCACGAACGAAGAGTGAGGGGTCTGCAGAAGACGGAAAGAACTGCAGGTCAGCAAGGGTAGCACGCAACGTGTCGTGCCACTCACGAGGAGCCTGGCGCAGGCCGTAGACGGGATGCCGCAGGAGCCACTGGGTCCCAGGAGGGAAGGTGCCAGTAAAGCCCTAAGGACGACGCAAGTAGACCTGCTCGTGTAGGCTGCCCTGAAGGAAGGCAGTGGAGAAGTCAAGGGAGTGAAGCTCGTAGTCACGCTGAGCAGCTAGGTGTAACAGAACCCGAAGAATAGTCATCTTCGGGGTCGTAGCAAAGGTCTAGAAGACGTCCACCCCCTCACGCTGACTGAAGCCTCTAGCCACGTAGCGCGCCTTGAACACAGGCGGCTCTCCAGGAGGGTGCTTCACCTTGAAGAGCCAGCGGCCATCGACTACGTTCACCCCAGGCGGTGGAACTGCGTCGACGAAGGTGCCGGTGGATCTCCAAGATGCCATCTCCTGCTCCATGGCAGCTATCCACTGCGAGGCCCAAGGTCCCGAGGTCGCCTCAGCGTAAGTGCGAGGGGTCGGGATGTCGAAAGCGTCTGGGTCACCCTCAGGGACTAGCAGCATGGAGCAGAGATAGGGAGCAGCCTCGGACAGGAAAGCAAGCTCGAACTGGCGGTCCTCCAGGACGTCACTGCCTAGGGCAGGAGCACCCCCGACAGACGGAGGACAGGCAGGGTCAGAGACCAGAGCGGTGGCGTAGTCAAGGCGGCGGGTAGAGGCAAAGTCAGCGACCGCAGCGACAAGAGCGTCAAGACACGAGACCGGAACAGACGGGTCGGTAACGAGAGAGGCGAGGACACGAGGAACAAGCGGACGAGCGGCACGAAGGTAGTCAGACAGAGGAGGAGGTGCAACGGTAAGAGAGGATGGAGGAGGCGACGGTAGAAGGGGAGGACGAGACGCGTGAGAACAGAGCAATATGGGATGGGAGCGCGGGACAGGGGAGACAGGACGAGCGCGGGAGGGACGGCGGGACCAGACGTGAGACGGAGGCGTCGAGTGAGGAGACAGAGGAGGGGACACAAGGGGGGAACGAGGGGGAAAACGAGCCGGGGACGAGTCCGGCGGAGGGAACACAGGGCCGTAGACGGGAAGAGGAGGAGACGGCCGGGAAGGAACAGACGCAGGGTCAGGGGACGGAAGGCCGAGCAGGCGAAGGGCTGACACCGGCGGGGACTGCTGCTGCGGCGGCACAACGCCGACACCGGGACCGCAAGCTGCTCCTCGGCTACCACCGGCACACTCCACGCCAGCACCCCCAGAGGGAACACCCCTAGGGCCCGAAACCCCCCGAGGACCGGTACCACCACCAGGGCTACTGGGACGAGCACCCACTCCAACGCTAGCACCCCCAGAGGCAACAAACGGGTGCTGCGACGGCGGCGGCGGCGGCAGCGACAACGACTGCTGCGGCGGCGACGACTGAGGTGACAGCGGCTGCGACAGCAGGGGCGACGGCGGCGGCACAGGCGGTGAAGGAGGGGACACCTGGGGAGGGGCAGCCGGCGAGGACTGCTCCGCAGGACTACCAGAGTCAGAAGACTCCTCAACCGGGACCACCGACGGAAGAGGGGTGACGTGGGACACACCTGAGGGGGCAGGACAGGGAGGGGGAGGAGGAGGGGCAGGGACTACCGGGGAAGGAGTAACCAGGAACAGGGGGGGGGTAACCGGGGGACCGCGGTGAGGGAAGCGACGGTAGAAGGAGACGGACTCGTCAAAGGTGACGTCACGAGAGTGAAAGAAGAGGTGAGACGGCGGGTGGTAGAAGTGCCAGTCGGACGCGTCAAGGGGAAAAGCGAGGATGACGCAGGGAAGGGTGCGGGCAGTGAGCTTGTCCGTGCCGGAGGCACGGACGTGAGCAAGGCAGCCCCAGACGTGGAACGCAGATGCGTCACCAGGAGACCCAGTCCAAAGACGGGTCGGCGAAACCTGCGGCTGCTGGGGGTGCGGCCACAGGTTAAGCTGGTGAGAAGCGTAGCGCACAGCGAACGGCCACAGAAAATGGGGTGCACCGGCATGGATCATGGAGGTGCGAGCCACCTCCATGACCAAACCGATGCGTCGCTCAGCGACCCCATTCTGCTGTGGGGAGTCCGGGAGAGTGAACGTCTGGGTGATGCCCTCCGCACGGCAAAAGCGACCAAGGACACCTGAGGCAAACTCACCACCACGGTCGGAGTGAAGACGCAAGAGAGGAAGACCTCGGTGGACACGGGCAGAGACAAGCCAGGGGATGAGAGCGTCAGGCACGTCGGCCTTCCGCTCCAGGGGAAAGACCGAGGTGTAGCGAGTGAAGTCGTCGACAAGCACAAGGAAGTAGTGCTCTCGACGCGGC